GAGGAGGCAGCCTCCCAAAGTCACGGACGGGTTTTGTCTCCATATCCCGGTCCTGCTTTTCCGTCACTCTCCACCGCCGCTCTGGGAGCCGCACGTTGCTAAACGGACGCTCTCTTGCTTCTCCACCCTCCTGGCGCCCAGCAGACAAGGTCCTGACGGAGCTGATCGAGCCGTACGAGCTGCGAGTGGCGAAGCTGCGCGAGTTCCTGGAGGACGTGAAGCCCTCGCTGCGTTACGACATCGTGCCCCTGGTCGACCCCTATGGCCCCTCGGTCACAGACCCCAGCCTGCAGTGCTTGGTGGTCAGCGAGGAGACCCACAGGGGAGGGGAGGCTGTGAACAAGAAGAGACGTGAAAACGTAATGCCTGTGCAGGAGCCCGGTGGGCTGCCCCTTCCCACCCTCTCACCCCTGTCTGCCGCTGGCCGTGGGCAAACCAGGTCTCGGTGAGCAGCTGCAGCTGTTCGGTGCCCCAGTGTGCCACAGCCTGGGCTTGAGGGCAGGATGCCAGTGCACGCGTCTGCTGGCACCCTGCAGATGGGTGCTTTGCGCTGAGCTGGCCGCGTGCACCCCAAGAGTGGTGCAGCAGCCTCTGCATGCGGCACGACCCTGGGCAGCACCGCCAGCCCCGCGCGTGCGGAGGGTTGGGGTCAGACGGGCAGCTCTGTGGGCTCCCTTCCCCTCTTGACTGCCGGGAACATGCCCCTTGCAGGGACGGAGCTGCCCCGTGGGGACGCTGGGGGCGGCCGCGGCCTCGTTTGTGCTGCTTCGTTCAGGCCTTGACCTCCCGCTGAGCCCCCTTCCCTCTGCTGCGTCCCCGCGGCTGCCAGGGCTGACGGCTCTCAGGGCTCTCTTCTCTCGGCAGGGGCTCCCCGAGTTGGCTCTCTACGAGATCCTGTTGATGAAGGACCCCGACCACAGTCAGAACGAGGAGGAGAAGATCAGCTCCTCCAGCCTCCGGCAGAGGCTGCTGGGGACGCTGCTGCGGCCCCCGCGGGTGAGGAGGGGCGCTTGGAGAGCCACGAGCTGCAATGGGAACAGTGTGCCCAGGAGGAGGGGTGGCAGCCTCGGGAGCTAAAGAGCCAGCTCATCCCCCTGCTGCAGGGGGACAAGTTTTGGAGGACTGCCTGCCTGCTGCCTGTACTGGCATCCGGCAGGAGCAGGCCCCTGTTCTGCAGGGCCAGGACCTTTCACACCCATCTCCAGGCCGGGTGGTCGGGATCCTTCTCCGGCAGAGCCTGCATCCTCCGTCTGCTGGCAACGGCTTTCCTTCTTCCCTTAGCAAGACCCTACCTTGCCTTCACGCCCGTACGTGATCGGCCTGACTGGAGGAACCGGGAGTGGGAAAACCGCCATTGCCAAACTCCTGGGGCACCTGGGAGCGTTCCTCATCGACGCCGACAAGCTGGGCCATGCCGTCTATGTCCCCAGTGGCCCTGCCTACGAGCAGGTGGTGGCGGCCTTTGGGGCAGGTAGAGCCACCGAAGGCTGCCGGGAAGACTGGGAGGAGGAAGAGGAGGGAGGGGTGTGCCATTGCCCTAGTGTCCCAGGGAGCCGTCCTGGCCTGCGCTCCCCTCCTTCCCCCGTAGATTTTGGGCTCCACACCACCCAGATGGGGGTTCTGTAGCTGATTTGGTGATGGTTGGGCCCGAGCCGGGCAAACCACTGCTTTCCCCAAGTCTTGCGCGTCCCCTGTCAGAGCTACTGTAAACTGGCTGGCATGGAAGGCTAAACCGGGCTGCCGTTTGTCTAGGAAAAGCTCTTCCCTGTCCTTTTCTGGAGTAAGGGACCTTTCTGGGTCCCCTTGAGAGCCCTGTGCTGAAATCCTTTCACTCTGACCTAGGCTTGCCGCAGGGAAGTGAGTTGGATTCATTCCTCCCAAGCCTATTCTGCTTCTGTCTTGCAGAAATCTTGAATGAAGATGGGACGATTAATAGGAAAGTCCTTGGGGCCAAAGTGTTTGGAAACCAGGTAAGAGCAGCACAGAGACTGGCAATATTTAATCTTGTGAGCGGGGAGCTCTCCATCTTTGTTGAGGATTTTTATTTTTCAGCCCTTTGAGGTGATGATGCCTTCCTGACTGTACTTTCTGGCAGTGACGTACGGACAGGGCAGGACACAGATCCTGTCTCTGCAGCCGAGTCAGCAGCCGTGCTGGACACACTTCTCTCGTCCTGGCAGCTGGTGCTGCCTCCTCGTCCCCATCCCCGTCCCCTCTGTCCCACGCTTGTCCTTCACCCAGCGTGGAGCAACAGCCCTGACGTATGCGGAGCTGGTGCTCTCCGACCCTTGCGTGGTTTGGGCTTGTACCCAGTGGGGCTCGGTGACTCGGCAGCCGAACCTGACCCTCTGCACCTGGCTTTGTTGGCCGGGCCAGTGCTAAGCCTTTCGCTCAGGTCCTGTGGGCTGCCCCAGCCCAAGCGTGAAGGCAGCTCGAGGGGTTCCCCTGGGACGGACAGGTCTCACGTGGGTGCTGCTGCGTGGGGAGCTTGCTGTGCTGCGGGGCGGGTCTTTGCAAAGCGCCTCTCGCAGCAGAGACCAAGGTTCTGCTGTGCCTGGCAGGGCAAGGAAAATAATAGGAAAAAGAGCCTCAACCCCATCAGTGGGCATGGGAGCCCCTGGCCAGCGTGGAAGCTTTCCTTCGTTGCACTTAGCGAGTAGGCAGTGGGCCGGGTCCATCCCCCGTGCTTTAGCAGGTTCTTTCTGGGTGCCCTCTGTGACCGCTGCTGCTACCAGCGATTCCCTTGTTGGCTGCCCAGGGCTTCTAAGGGCAAGTAACCAAATCCCGTCGTGGTCCTTTCTAGGAGCGGCTGAAGAGTCTCACGGATATTGTGTGGCCTGAGATGGCCCGGATGGTCAAGGAGCAGATCGGGGAGGCAGATGCTCAAGGTAACCGGGGCAGCTCCCACTGCAGCACAAAGGTGGGAGGTGGGTGCATGGTCTTGTGCAGCACACCGTGACCGGGAGCCCCCAGGAATCGGCTGCTTTTGGCAGCACCGTGAGTATTTTCCATGCTCAGACCCCCCTCTTCTCTGCTGGGCAGCTTGCTGGGGATTTTCACTAGCACATCTCTGAGCAAACCCCTCCACTCAGCTGGGCCGGCAGCTGGGACAGGCTTACCTCAAGCTTCCTACTCTGAAGGAGGGAGGAGGTTGCTTTCTCTTTCCCACTGACTTCAGGTTCGTTTTTGGTGTAGTGCTCCAGCAGTGGGTGTGGTGTGTATTCCTTCTGGGAGCAGAATTTTTCCAGCTCTTGGGAGATGCTGTTGGTAGCTCGATAGGCATTTGGCTGAAGGCATTGGCTTGCCATGCCCGGGAGACCTGCCATCCCAGGTGTGCCCTTTAAGCAAACATAGCCTCTTGCCTGCTGCTGTCGTTTCCACGTGAGGTTCTTTGGCTCAGCAGTAAGGCGTCTGTGCTGCCAGTTTGCAGGAAGGCATGACTCTACGAGTGTAAGTGGACTGGCTGGGTTGCACCCCGAGGAGCAGTCGCGCTGCCTTGCGATTGCCAGGTAAATGAGGAATGGCCTCGTTCCATAGGAAAGGCCGTGTGCGTGCTGGACGCTGCTGTGCTGCTGGAGGCAGGCTGGCAAGACATGGTCCATGAGGTGTGGACGGCCATCATCCCGGAGGAGGAGGTGGGCAATGCCCCTTGGCCCGTTGCTTGCTTCTGGGGCTGGTTCTCGGCTTCCCCTCCGAGCTCCTGAGTGTCCCCTCTGGTCCCGCCAGGCTGTGAAGCGCATCATGGCCAGGGACGGGCTGAGCGAGGAGGCTGCTCGCAGCCGGCTGCAGAGCCAGATGACCAACAGCCAAAGGGTGGAGCAGTCTCAGGTGGTGCTGTGCACGCTCTGGGAGCCGGACGTCACCCGCAAGCAGGTGAGCCCTGGGCTGGCTGCAGCACTGGGGTCTGTCACGGGTGGCGAAGGGGGAGGCGGGCGACCGTGACGGGGACCAGAGGGCTCGGTGCTGTGCCTGGGTCACGCATGGTGTGCCTGGGCATGCTGCTCACCACCGAGGCTGCCTCTAGGCCC